AAGAATGGTAAGTAAAGGTTGCGATAACCTTCTGCTCTCTTTCTTCTATTGTTTTGGGCATGTTTGGATCTCAGAAAATGCTGAAGGATAAAAAACCTTGAAAATAATTTCTTACGATTAATTTTACCTTGAAATATGCAAATCAAAACAGACTATAATTTTATTCAACTGTAAGAATTTGCATGTATTTAGATCTCTTAATCTTTATGTAACCAACATAAATAAATCCAATGAGTATCTTTCAAAAAAAGAACCAACGAGGATCTGCAAATATCTAAATAAATCTAGAGACTTTGCCTGTTTTAGTATCCTAGTTTTAATATCCCCCCCACATTTCCTTTCCTTCAAATTTGTGTCCTCACTTTCCTTTCTATTATGATTTTCTGGGTTGCAAACTGACCCTTAAACTAACTAGCCGAAAACAGTAAATATACATTGGACTTATCGAGTCCTTTTTGTCATCTCAGGACGAGATATTTCTCAGAGTCACGGCAGGGTCATACCCCTCTGCAGGGTAGAGCTTACTATCAAATGATGGAATGCTTAGGGGTAAGATTTCAACTTCCTTTTTCAGTTGCGATGACTTTTTATTGTTTTTTCCTTACTACGATTTTATCCATATACTTTTTGCTATTAATATGTTAAGAAAGAAGAGGAGGAAAAGAATGAACCAGTTAACTCTTGCAAGTTTTAATAAATTCCCGAATCACGAATATCAACTTTGTAGTACATTTGAAAATTTAATTTTATTATTAGTATACTTAGCTACGATCTCAGTGTATCCAATAACTAAAATAAAGAATTCTAGATTTCTAAGCTTTATTTATAACAATATTATATATTTCAAGACCCAGTAAAACGTATGTACGCAGCTTTGAACATTATTGAATGTTTGATTGTAATTTCTGAGATTTGTGCGAGGTTGAAGATAAAAAAAACTTTAGAGGTATTAGTTAGTCCTGAATCCTAACCTTATAACTGTTTGTAAAAAAAGTGTAGTGATTCTTTTGGAGAAGCTCTGACCTTGAAGTGGATGTAATTTTAAATAGTCTATCAATTATGATATTTGGAAATGGATCATAAGCTATTTTTGTGTATGCACTGTCCTTCATCAAGAACATAATTCAGACTTTAGTGAAGAATTGCAGGATGAAAATCCTCAGATATTGCAACGTATAGTGACAAATGTAGAAGCATGATAATTAAATACAAAGTATGCTACAATTTGTATTTGGACATTTTAAAATATTCAACATATGGTACTACTACGTACGCATTCTGTGTGTTCTACTAAGGAGGCCAATGGGGGCACATTTAAAGGTGCTCACATTACCAAAATGTGAAGGTAAATGTGTTTGGGGCCCAGTAAACTCACATGGGATACAGATGAGTTTTTTTCCGCAATTTGTAAGTGTGCTCTCATATGCGCGCCTTAGAATTTTCCCACATTCCGCACCCCTGAAAAGTTCACGCTTAGACAAAATGTGATAATTAAATGGTACTTTTTGCATGATTTTCTAAACATATCAGGAACATATTCCAACATATTCCATTACAACTAATAATTCAAACACTCTTTGGATTCTGTTTCCAAAAGGAGGCTTACGTATCGCTGTAGCATGTTGAATTTGAAATACGTACAGGTTTCCCTATTGTTGATGTTTTCTACCTTTGTAATTTAAGCTTATTAAAATACATTCTCCCATGCGAGTGGATCCGAACCGTGTAGTGGAGTGGTTACCCAGCCGCAGCTTGATTAGGGCTGCAAGAGTGGCATCAGAGAAATTATTAAGGTAGTTGGAAATGCCTTTCTTCTAACTGCTACTAAATATTTAGAGTTTGTGCAAACCATGATGGATTACAACCATAACTGCTTATATCTCAATTTTCAGTCCATTTAGTACTCTCTTAATCCTCAAAATTAGAGACATGTTTCAAACTTCTGTTTTCTCCAAAGAAAGAAGGCAGCTTATTTTTCATGTCATTGTCAAAAAATGCCAAAAAGAGGAACCAGAGACAAGTTACACATGAGAAATTGGTTCTAGATTATGATAGTTGTACACTTGTACATTACCAATATGTAAAAGCTATAAATTGGTCAAATAATACTCCATTTTTGTAAACATGTAGGAGGGTTAGTGGTGGATCTCTGGATCCATTGGCTGCATGTTCGATCATCGCAAAGCAAGTGAAAGGAAAGGTTAGACAAATGTCAAGGCTGGTGAGACTATCTGCTATAGAGCACCAAAAACACGTAAAAGGCACCACCTTCTACCCCTTGGAGCATAATCCGGGGCACGGTCAACTCTGTGCAGTCCCATCAAGGTGATCCATTATTTTTTTGCTTAATCTGATTTCCAGGTAATACACACTGCTTGCTATGCCACCTTTAAAGGGGTTGTTGCTGAATGGGAAGTCTAGTAGTAAACATCTTCACATAGGCATTAATCGAATTGTGAGATCTGTATACTCACAAGTCAAACCATCAAGCTTGCAAGTAAGCTTATTCCTCGCAGAAGGGTCAAATATCAGTCCAAACAATTTTGCATAATATGAGAGTTATTTGGAAGAAAAGTTAAAGAGGCTTTTCAATTTGGTATAGCTTATAAGGTACTATTGTATATCAGCTGTTCTTGGAAAGGATAGACACATACTGTATTTTTTTTTATGGGAGATTTATGTAACTGTCATGTATCCTGAATGGGAAAATGCAATTTGAAAAGATTAGTCAAATCCATGTAATACGCTGTAACATTGATGAAATGCTCAGAGACAAGACATGGGTATTGTTTTTATGGTCCAAGGTGATAATTTGGCTAGATTAGGAAGTCCTTCACTTACTCTCACTAGGGAAGGACCCGGTACGGAACTGGGCCTGGCAGTGTTCCGGACCAGACCAGGTTCAGAATTTCCGGTTTCAGGCCTGGGACAGGCCCTGTCCGCCCAAGAGTGGTATCCGGTCCCAGTTCCCATTTTTTTTCTTAAGCTTGATAATAGGTAAAAAAAATCAAAAAGTATACTATCGTATATAAGGACCGGAACCGGACCGTTCGAGTCCCAAGAACTGGCCCAGACCTAGAAAATAGCATGTCGGTCCCGGGTTGTATAAAAAAAATGCTAGGACTGGGTGGTCTTGGCCCCCAATCGCGATCGGACCCACCTGGGTCCACCCTTTACTCTCACTATATATTCTACTCCCTCCACTATAGTTTACATAGAAGCTATAGCCGTTTTATTCCTATTCGTTGTATTGATGTTTCATATTCAAATAGTGGAGATTCACGAAGAAGTATTGCACTATAATAATTAGCTGTCTATATGAATTTGGCCATGGCAAGCACAAGTAAGCCAGTGTAGTGTTTAATACTTCTAAGGTGTGATGATTCTACATCGATGAAATATGACTCATACACCAAACACTAATCAGTCGTCGTCATCTGAACTCTCATATGCTGCCATGCAGCTAACAACCTCGTAACTGTGTTTTGCGCCTTCAAGGCTTCAATATATTAGTTGTTTCATCATCATTCATCATTCACTCCCGTTGGGAGCGATTTTGGGACGGATGGTAAAAAAATGTTTTTAGTGGAAAAACTACAAAAAGAAAAGGAATGTTGAAGCTTTCAAAATTCAAATGCTATGTATAAATGTCTAAAATGTAGGCGGGAAATAAACTCTTAAAATTATTTCATTTTAAAACTTTGTTGGGAAATATACTCTTAAAATTATTTCATTCTAAAACTTTGTTTTTAATATATTTACCCATTTTTATAAATTTATCAAAGTTGAATAACATGTAAAATAATAAAGTAAAAATAGTGTGGTTGAGGTTTATGTAGAGAAGATTAACAAGAACTACAAATTCATTAATTAATAGGGAATGTAAAAAAGTTATTGAGAATGCTAAAAAATGATAGTTGACAAAATTACAAAGGATGGAGAGACTATAACGCCCCTTGTGGCCTTGTAAAGTGAACTACCAATGTATAAAATTGGGTTTTGCTGGAGTGAGGCACAATATAGATTGGGTTTAGAGAATTGATCTCAATGTTAGCTTGTTAGGTAGTTTTACACAATATATAATATTCCTTCGTTCCTTATAATTTTGTATTTTATTTCCCTTTCTGATTGTCTAAAAAATCTTGACACTTTTCATTTTAATCAATTATTATGTGGTTTTGTTATTTCTTTGTTCTTTACACAAACCTCAATCACAAAACTTTAATTTATTATTTTTCGTACCAGTCAAGCTTGACAAAACTATTAGAGACATGAAGAGTATTATGAAAGAAAAGTGGGACGTTGGAGGAAGAAATAGGAAAAATGGTGTAGGATTCTCCTTAAAGTTCACTCTTCTTGTTGGGTTCATTGGGCTTATGGTTGGCATCCTCTCCAAGCTATTGTTGTCTTCCCCTCCTGCAGAATAACAAGTCGCCCCCCTCCCTTATGCATTATGACAGTTTCCCCTCACCCCCTCTCAATATCTTATCTTCTTATCCGAGTGCGAAAATAGGATTCTCAATAGCAGGCCATGTAAATTGGATTCACCCTTAGCAGGTAGCTGTACGGTTTTTGTCAAAGAGTATTCAGCCTCTAATGTCTCTTAGACGCTTGTTATGTTTTTTTAAAAAAAAAAAAAAAAAAAAAAAAAAAGTGGGACGTTGGAGGAAATGAACTTTGATGAGGAAGGTTTAGGGTACATTTGATAATACTAAATTAACGGAATCGGATGAATTATCAAAATTGAAGAAACTCTGGATGAAACGATTAACTCTTGAATATGAAATGATTATATATATAAAAATATCATATTAAAGGAAAAAATATATGAAAAATAATTAATTTGTTCTTTTGTAATAATAACTTCAGTCAAATTCAGAAAAGTAATGTCAATAAAACGGGCTCTTAGATTTTAGTGTTATGCGGAGTATCATTTTAAACTAAGGATTGGTTAAACTATAAGCTCGGCCCAGCCCAATAACGATGATATTCCCGGCATACTTAAACCCAAGTCAAATGTCACTCCCTCGGTCCGTCCGCCTTTGACTCCCTCGCAATCTCAATCGGAAAACAGAAATGTCGACGACGATCACCCAGGCGCCGGTGATGATTGTAGCTGGTGCATTGGCGGCGCTCTTTATATTTGCGGTCTCATCGGAGGCTGTCTCTGGAGCTCCTTTCATCTTGGCGCACAAGAAAGTCTCTCTGACGAAGCTCAGTTCCGGCACTGAACGCGTCTCCGTTACCATTGACGTATACAACCAAGGATCTGGGTGAGGACATCTTGTTTGGCGTACATTTTCGCTCATTTTACGTGCACATTTTCATCTTCAGTTCAATGTCTGTTATACATGTGCGAGACTTGTGATTTGTAGAATTTATATGTATATTAAAGAACCAAGGACTCTTTGACTTAAAATATTCGATCTGAATTGGACGAAATGCGGTGAGCGGGAAGCTTTCAAGTTTTAAATTGCATTCAGTTTTTGCAGAAGTTCCCTGCCCTACACATATTTATGCGAGAACAGATTTTGTTATGACTTTCCACATGTATGTCTTTATTTTATGTCAAATCAAGCAAAATTAAGGCAGTAGTGACATTGTTGATTAAAAATTTCCTTTTTTGGAGTTGTGAATTTTACTTTGCGACATCTAGGGGAATTTGTTTTTGGGATGGGATTAGTATATAATTAATCTTGATTAGTGAATTACTGATGAATGGTGATTGATAATGAAAACAAATGTATGGTTTTATGACTTTTGTCTGCCCTCAGTAGACTGTACATGTCATTATCAAGTATTCTGGACTTCAGTAATTCACTTCATAAGGTGATCATCGTGCATGCTCTTTACAAATGATTGTTTATCAATGTGTCTTGTGATAAATCGTAGTGATAGTTTTCATCTGATCATTCGAATGGATAACCCAACTGCATGTGCTATTATTTTAATGTCGGCAATTTTCTGCAATCTCAGTTTCTACTTGGCATGTATATCCATGATCATATCATGTTAATATTTTACTTGACTATCTGGACACCCCACCCCCCATGTGATGAAAAACATTATATTCTTCTTTTTTGAAACAGACCGCATACAACAATAGAAAGTAACTGGATACACATTCAAGATCTTGGGAAACACAGATCATTAGTCTAAGTTTGCTGAATTGTTATTGATTTTACTTACTGCACCATGTGCAGAACTGCTTATGATGTAACCCTTACTGACGATAGTTGGGACCAGGGCGTATTTTATTTTGTGACTGGCAACACCTCTAAGTCATGGGAAAAGGTTCATGCGTAAGTGTGATGTTATTACTTATAATTTCCTTTGTCCTGAAGTCTTTACTTCTTATTAGTGCTTATGTGACTATAGTGCTAATATTTTTTGGTCTCTGAACAATTATATGTTCTTTTACCCACCAATTCCAGTGGTTCTGCTGTGTCTCACTCTTTTGAGTTGGAATCCGGAAAGAAAATGACTTATTACGGCTCACCTTCCCGCATCACATATCGTGTTGCAAGCAAGTCAAAATTGCAGGTTTGTTTAACTACGTTGATGTCAATTTTGTTCATGGAATTAATTAGCTAGAAATAGGATCTGGTTTCTGGGATTTATATATTTCATCCAATGTTTCGCTTAATGTCAGTCACTCAGTCGTGGAATTGAATTTCATGGAATAATGTATTGCTACTGTTTTGGAATGCTTATTTCACTCTCTTTCCGGTATTAGATATTTTCATTGACCTTAGAATTTAGGGTATTTAAATGAGCAGCCTGGCATACATTGGCATCCCCACAAGTCGATGGTCCGGGAAAGAGTCTCATCACAAGGGTGTAAGAGTGTATAGGGGCCTAGGGGGTAAAATTTTCCTTGTTATTTTGACAATTGGCCGCTCTTAAGACTTGAGTTTGTGACCTCTTGCCTTGATAGTGTTGCATGTTGTGATAATTGCACTGTCTTAAGATCATTTATCAATGCTGTATCATACTCCGTATTACTATCATCAGTGTTCTAAAATTCACTGGTGTTATTTGGGCGCAGCATAATGCCTAGGATGTGTAGGTAACTAGGTAAGGCCTAGGCTTATGTAAAATAATAAGATTACATATTTCAAAAATAAATTGTCAGTATGTCAATATGATAAAATTCTAGAGTTCAATAATAACTTACAATCAATGACACTTTTATGGTGTAATAGTCTAATAGATAGTAGAGACATATATGTACATGTCTGAAGCATTCATTTATAACAAGTAAATAACTTAGTACAGCCAGCAGAAGGTTGCTTTTTCCGCACCTCAACTCGTGTTTGAATCCCTTAGACAATACATTAATTTTATTTTTCCATTTATCATTCATGCGTTAAATGATCCTTTCTCTTCCACTCTAAGTATTTAAGTTGCTGCATCAATGCAGGTGAATACAAGTAAATGTCTTTATTTACTCAAGTTAATTAATTTATATGTCTGGTTGGTGTTTAGGCGTTTGTCACCATCTATTTCTTTGTCATTTTTTTATACCATCATGTTTTTATTCCCTTTGTTTTTTTATTCTTTGAATCATATGTGCAGCGGTGGGAGTTATTGGCGCAATTCTTGATAAGAACGTTATTTTCTTGAAGAATATTATTTCCTAACATTTTTATATCTTAATTATAGGAGGCATACTCCACTCCAATATTGCCATTAGAAATATTATCTGAAAAAGTTGGTGAAGCCAAACTGGGATTGGTAAGTTTTTTCCTTCTAGAGATGTGTCTTTTTTCGTCTTCAATATGGTCTCCTCGTTCTGACTCCTAAGTTTTTTGCTTCATCTTTTCATGTCTAATTGCAATATGTGGGGACATGCCTGCAGGCTAAGGTAATGTGTATTTCTATTAAATAAATTAATCTGTATTTCCTTATGATTATGAGTAAATATTATTGCCTTCATGATGGAAATTTTGTTCTTCCTCTTTAACTGATATTCAGCTATATCATTGTATGCAGAGTTTACTGTCAAAATATGGATCCCATATTTCCGTGGTGCTTATTGTGGCACTCTTTGCTAATGCTATTGCTGCTCCCTCAAAATCACATGTCGGAAGTGGAAAGAAGAGGCACTGAATATCAGCTGGCGATGGAAAAATGTTCTGTTCTTTTGAAATCACTACAAGCCTTTTTATACTTATAGAAAATATTTCACTTACATACAATGATTCCCAAAAAAATATAAAAATGTATTTTAAAAATGCATTTTAATTTGTGAATCATGTTAACCTCTCCATGACATTATTGCAATGGTAAAATTGTGTTTTTAACTGCTTACCTGTATTAGAATTGCGTGCACCAGCAAAATTACAAAATTTTATTTTCTCATATATGTATGTGGTATACTACTTTAATCCGAAAAGGATGTATTTCAAACAATCTTCTCTTTTTAACTGAATATAAAGAATTTATCATCTAGTCTTTATTTTAAAAAAGATATGCATACTAAATTTGGTCAAATCAATCATTCAAGATAAATTTGTATAAGTAAGATTTCTATTTCTTGTTGTTGTACATGATCATAATTAAATTTTATAATGTAAGCTTGAACTCTAGATTTTTTTTCAAAAAAAAACTCTAGATTTTGACTATTGTTCTAAAATAAGTGCATGACAAGAGTAAATCTCAAGTGTTTGAAGCCTAAATGAAAGTAGCTGAAGCCTAAACATGGGCATGTATTTTGATTTTTTATTAATTTTTGTTACGTAGTATTTCATACTGATATATTAAAACAATATCCAAAGAAATATGCTAGTTTGTGCATAAGTTTACCTTCTTACCTTCAATGAATATATTATATATAATCTGTAAATTTTAAAGAATTACAAATAAAAAATACTCCGTAATATTGAGTATATACTTGGGCTTTTGTCTTCAATATTACTAAATTAAAGCCACTTTCCTAGATTGTGACCATTTTTTCAAAAAGACAAAAAAATGACTAAGAAGGTCATATATTTGAAAAAACATACTATCATTGTCAGATTTTATGTCACTGCGTGTGTCACTGTAGTCACCACCCGTGTCACTGTACACACCGCTCGTGTCTCTGTAGCCACCGCCCGTGTCACTGTAGCCACCGCTCGTGTCTCTGTAGCCACCGCTCGTGTCTCTGTAGCCACCGCTCGTGTCACTGCGGCCATATATAGTGACGCCGCCGCAGTGACTCAATTATTCCGGCCACAGTGACAACTATTCCGGTCAAAATGACACAACTATTCCGGTCAAAGTGACTGTCGCCGCCACCCCCCGGCCCTCCGGCCAGTGACTGCCGCAACCCCACCCGCGCCCCTCAAACCAGTCACTGCCTATTACAATTACACTGCCGCCGCCGTCACAGTGATGCAGCACCACCCTTGTGCTGCCGCCGATCATCATCGCACCACCACCGCCCCACCCCTGACTTGACTCCCCGACCCCAGTCACCTCACCAACCCCCTCCAATCCCCCAGCCACTCCTATGCTCCTAGACACCTTCCCATCCCCCCAAGCCCCCTCCATAGCCTCCAGCCCAACCACCAGCTCCCCACCCCATCTCCCTGGCCCCAGTCTCATCTCAGCAACATCACCATGGATGAGGGCAACAACTTCAAGCTTCATGTCTTCATATGAGGAAAGCAGGAAGAACGGGATACCACCACCGCACCTCCGCCAGCAACGGCGGCTCCAAATCGAAGTCTTCATCCATCAAGATGGAGGATCCGACGCCAGCGGGACCTAATTAGAGTCGTCGCCCATTGATGAAGGCGGATTCCGAACTGTCAGCCCCAAATCGGAGTCTTCCTCCATGGGAGGGGCGACGAGCGAGCACAACGAAGGAGCTAGGCCTCAAATCGGAGTCTTCATCCATGTTGTTGCCGTCGACGAAGTTGAGGGCGGAGGTTTATTGCGTCGGTGATGGAGGTTGCGAGGTCGATTGCAATGAAGGCTCAGGCGGAAGATTCCCTAAAAAAAGGCTTAAGCAGAAGAAAGAAGATGAAGCAGTGGAATAGAAGAGGAAGGTCAGCGGAATGAAAGAGGTGGTGGGCCGGGTCACTTATATGGTATTTCAAAAAATGGACATAGTTTTGTCCAAGTTGAGAAGTTATTTTGGTGCCATTTTCTCTATATACTTTTACTTTTTACTATGTCATTTGTCCCAAAATTACTGTCATCATGAATTTTGAGGTTTCACGGATGAAAAGGTTATCTTCTCCTCAACAAATGCAATTACAGTTAAAAACTAAAATGTACACATGTAGAAGTTAACATGAATATTTGTAATGAATCACTCTTTTCGCCACTAATGTTTTAAGTCGACAAAAACAATCAAATTAAGGAAAGCATTTCAAATCCGGCAAAAGCCTTTCAACAGCAAAGGAAACAACTAGATGCCATCCAATACTTATTCTGACCTTAAAGACATATAAAAGTAGGGTTGTATACGAACCGAATCGGCTCGAATAATGTGATTTTGTATTTGTATTTGTTTAATTTTTCTGTATAGGAATCTGAATTCAAATATGAAAAGAATATTATTTTCTGTATAGGAATCTGAATTTTAACAATACGAATACTTAACGAATCATATATGAATATCGAATCAATTGATCATAAGTTAAATTTTAGTTAAATATCACTTTAAAACACTTATAAAAATGTGTTTTTAGAATTTAATTTGTAATATTACATTTTCATTAAAATTTAATGGATCGACGCATTTTTAGGTTGTGCACAATGTACTGAAGCGAATCAGTTTTATAATTACTATAAATAAATATATTTCAAAGCTAAGTTTGAAATAAACACTAACATTAATGTGTAAAATAAAATTATTTGTTTCCTTTGCAACCTTTTCTCCTTATGATACTTGACAAATAGACTTGGAATGTGTATACATAAATGTATATATATGGGTTACACTTTGAGGATATAGCTGGTTTTTAAAAGTTATTGTAGCGTTGTTGTTGTTATTGTTATTATTATTATTATTATTATTATTATTATTAATATTATCACTATTATTAATTGAATATATTTCATTAATATACGAATCGAATATACTAATATTTCTATTTGTATTTGATAACAATTCGAATCAATTTTAGCATTCTTATTTGTATTTGTATTTGAATTTTTCGAATTTGAATCATCTTATACGAATTCGATTCCCGAATCGAGTGTAAATTATTTGATTCGTATACAACCCTATATAAAAGACTATTCAATATTATGAAAAGCCCTCTCGCCTTATACAAGCGAGTTAAGGGGCTTGAAGTTGTCCCAATATCACACACACATTTCACAGAGTGATACTAAAGGTTAGGGGTAGTAGTAAACCAAGTGCAGCACATGAACTCGTTATACAAATACTATGTCCGCAACTCCAGCTCAGCAGCTCTTACTTCGAATGATAGAAGTTCCATAAGAAATAAATCTAAAATGATAAAACTTTGATATGCATGCTCTTATTTCGGGAGTGTTTGCAACAACTTAAAAAAAGTATTTCTCATATTTTGGCTTAAAAAACACTTATTTACCAAACACTACCAATTTTTACTTTTTCTCGACTTGCGTGTGAAAAGTGTTTTTCTCTTTTCTATTACACAAAAAACACTTATTTTAACAAACACTACCAACTTTTACTTTTCAAAATCATTTTTTTCTCAAACACTATCAACTTTTACTACTAATCACTTTTTCCTTACATCTCCAAAAGTGTTTTTTTTAAGCAGAAGCAATTGTAAACACTTCCTTCAAATGATAGAAGTTCCCTAAGAAATAAATTTAAAATGATAAAATTTTGATATATATAAAATTGTCCTGAACTAAGTTGACCAATGAAGAGTAATTTGGGACTAGTTTTTGGGATTCTTTGTTTAAATTTCGTACTTAACTATATAGGTGAGTTATTTAGGCAAGTGAATCTCTATTATAGCACACTCCAATTTTTTAGGGTTGGACTCGGTTCGGGCCGGGGCCGGTTCGGGCCTTGAACCGGCCGGGCCTCGGTTCACCAAAAGGAGGGCCCGGACCCGAACCGGCGGTGACCGGTTCCGGGCCAGACCGGGCCGATTCACCCGCCCTATTTTTTTTTTTTGATTTTTTGGCTTCTCTTATTTAACCCCCTACCCCTCCCCCTCAACCCCAAACCACCTCAAATTGTCCAAAATACCTAATCCAACCCAAAAAAAAAAAAAAAAAAAAAAATTAATTCCGGCCCGGACCGGGCCCGAACCGGCCAGTTCACCAAATGGAGGGCCCGGGCCCGGAACCGGTATTCACCGGGCCGGTTCGACCCGAACCGCCAGTGGACTGGGCCACCGGGCCGGTTGCTACAGTGGGCGGGCCAGGCCGGTTCCGGGTCGGGCCGCCCGGCCCGAGTCCAGCCCTACAATTTTTACGTTTGGAAAAACTTATTTGGTAAAAAATTATCACAAGTGAATTTCATTAATATTATTTATTTCACAAATGAAATTTAGATTGTTAACTGCATCTAAAAGTGAGAAAATAACATACGGAGTATAAAGTAATAATTTAAAATTAACTTAGTGTTTTATCTTATGTACTTATTTCAATAAATTTATATTTGTAAATAACATATAATCATTGTGAGAAATAACATTTTATATAAAGTTCGGGATATATACGCATTGCATATGTAAGTTTGGGTGCTTATCCCACACCCCTTCAAAATTTGGTGTTTATATTATTTTTCCATACAAACAAACTACGAAGCATCAATTCCCAAAAGTTACTATGTGAAGCTGAAATAACAATCTCAACTATTCTGCTGGAATCATTTTTGGCAGAATTTAAGAATTCCCCAAATAGGCAAACATGGTGCTAATGACACATTAGCTAATGACACATTGCGCTAGAAGAAATCTAAAAAGCAGGGGCAAATATACATACCCCAATCATATTATTATATTTTTACAAAAGTTTGTTTTGAGACTGATTCTCAGTACTCAGGTCGTCCAGGGGCAAGCATTGCAAGGAAACAGAGAAAGCGTGTTATCAAAATCAATGTGGACAAAGAATAAATATCCTGAAAAGAGGGTGTAGATCGAAACATAGGTTTAGTTGAAGAAAAGAGACCAGATTTTGGAATACAATTATGTCAATCCCAAAATTCCTATGCAGTGGCAGCCAAAGGAACTGATCTATAACATGCCCTTTTTGCTGCACGAACTATGTCTTCAATCTGTCAAAGCAATGAGAAATCGAGAAACAGAATTACAATTCTGAAGCAGTATATAGCATACTTTTCTCCTGTTCCCAGCTTTCTTAACGTTTAGTAAGTCACCAGATGGGCCTTTC